CAGAAAAACAATGGCAAATATCGTACTCACTTTAATACAAAGTTATGATGAACGAAATATGCCTGTGGAACCTCTCTATAGAAAACAAATGTGCCTGGGTAGTGAAAATGCTAGAAGTTCTGTCTAGATCTTTCTCTAAATAAGAACATGTTGACCCAGCTGACGGTATCCATCTCAGACTACTGAAGGCAGACTTCAGTTTTTGTCAAAAACACAAACATTTCATTCAAAGCAGCAACCTTTCTTGGAGTAGCACACACCCACTCCCAGCGCAGCCCCAGACAATCCAACAGAGAGTTCTAGAGCTAAACTGACCACTTAGAGGTCTTCTGAGCTTTTCCCTGAATCCCTAGTCTTTATCAACCTGAGTCCATTCTGGTATAAGTGTGTTTTGCTCCAAGCAAGGCTGCTACTTTGAACAAGACATCCAGATTTTAGACAAAGCACCTGAATATGCAGTTAGCTGAAATATGCATTAAACTTCACTTCTCTCTCTGCCAAATATGCCCTTCTGCATCCTTGCATTTATAATTTTTGCATTTATGATAATCCTTGGAGTGCCATGCTATCTTCCAGTGTGCTTGCCACAGAATACAGAAAGCAGAAGCTCAAAAGATATACACAAAGTATATGGGAACCATTTTCAAATATTACAAAATGAGCTAAAAGAAATATGAGGAACAGGAAACATGAAACAAAAGCATTATCAGAATTTTTTAAATTCAATCATCAGTGATTAGGGGAAGTAAATGTTTGAAAATCAGGCATATATTACAAAGCAGATAAAAATTAGAAAAATAAATTCATAAATAAAATCCATAAAGAGAAAAGCAGGGCCAGGGATATAGCTCAGTGGCAGAAGCACCTGCCTGGGCAGAGCAAGGACCTGAGTTTGATTCTGGTATCAAAAAGAAATCACAGCAAGAATCAGTGAATTACAACTAAAGTAACAATGAATCGGTAAAACATAGAATATTGTGAACACTTCATTTCTTACTCCTTGCTCTCCAACAGAGCTTTTCATTTTATTGAGCAAACCTCTAACTTGCATCCGTTCTCCACAGAGTGGCTCTCTTGTTCCTTACCTAGTTTCTGGAGGCTGGCAGTCACCCTGAGGCTGAATGCCGGAGGAAAGGCTGGTGATGCCCCATGATGAGAAGACAACCAAATCCTTAGCTTTGAGTGCACTCTGCATAATGGCCTTGGCCATCCTGCTCTTGTCTCCAGCATAACACATCCCTGGTGTGATTGCCCTGAAAGGAAACCTCCAGTTTTATCTGGGCATGGAAGAAATGCAGAACAATGTTACTCTAGCTGTAATGGAAAACTGCAGTCTATTGCTGGTCTGTACATTTCTTGATACTGGGTGACGAGTGTGGTACAGTCACTGTACTGTACATGGAAAACAGTGCTTATAGAATTTGATATTTCTGAAACACACAGGCAGACAGCTATACACAGATCTGGAACACAACATGTAATTTCTGAGTTGTCATATTTCTGGTAACCCATGTTTAGTGTTTTAGTGTACTTTTATTTAGTAGATAAAATTGCATATATTTATATTACAATAGTGTTTTGAAGTATATACACAGTGCTAGATGATTGAATCTAACAAAGGTTTCATTTCATAGTTATCATTTTGTAGTGAAAAAAATATTTGACATTCACTCCTCACATCATGCAATTCATTCTTTTTATATTTTATTAAAGTGGGGCTCCTTATTCAGACACTGAGCGAATCTAGGTGACCCAATTGTAAGAAAATATCCAGATATACTTGTGTGTTGAGAAGTAGGTTACTTCTGTTTGTTCTCACCCTTCACACAGGTGTAAACTCTTTTCCTGTGTTTAGAACTATGTCACTTGTTTTCTGTCTGTGCCCTCCTCCTCATCTTTATGATGAATGCTGCTGTTCTTTTCTTTTTCTTTTTTTTTTTAACCCTACCTCAGTTATATTTGTATAAAGATCACAGGAGGACAACAGCCCCCAAAGATGGCACCCCAGGGGTCACACCAGTCCTACTGTTTTTACATCAGCAAATAAGCTTTTACTGTGGAGCCTTGACGAGGGCCTGGGTATCTTTGGAGGCCTGGGCACCTTTGGGAGCCTGAGCTGTAGCAGAAGTGGAAGCCTTGGCTGGAGCCTGGGTCTTTGGCTGGCAAGGCCCGTGACCCTTGTCAATGTGGGCACAGATACACTTCCCAAGCTTGGGGTGGGCAATATAGGCAAGTCAAGCAAGCCTGTGGTTTACTCCCTCTGGAATGATCTTAAGATTGACTTTCTTGGGCTTGATAGCCTCAGCGCATGCCCTCATGGCCTTGTAATGTTTCCTTGCATATTCTTAAAGCCCTTCTTGTTGTGCTTCTTGAAAAAATTCATGTTCCTAAGGAACCTGGGACCTACCCCCTTCAGAGATTCATATCTTTGTGACCGAGGTTTCTTGATGCCATTTCTATGCCATTTTGAGGACTGGTTGTGCACGGTGTGGTTCTTGGACTTGGCCATAACTGCACTGTAATCCATAGTGACCAAGTGCCTGGAACCAGAAGATGAAAATCTGTTGTTGTTTTTCATTGTACACTATCACCATAGTGTACTTAAGGGTAGATTAAATGTTTAGCAAATCTGCAAAAGTTCTGTTTACTACTTACAAAGATGACTCCATAACAAATTCATAAATTAATATTGCCATAAATACAATGAATATCCAACAAAACAGAATACTAAAGTATGTGTGATAAAATATATAATGTAGATTTAAATTTTAAATATTGCAGTAAAAGATACTCTACATTACTATAAATCCGTTTTAAAAAAATTTCCATTCAGCTCAGACACACTTATTCCATTTTCTTGCGACTTTCTAAAATATTTCCAGTTGTTGATGAATGGTTTTATGAAGCATGATCAAAAATGAGGTGAACACTGCTGCTGAGCACCCTGCAGCTCAATGTCAGTCTCATGAAAATGTTATGCTGTATCCGTGTCCACTTTCTTCACTGTGTGACCTATGGATTTTCCTCAAAGCAAAAAAGACTACAAAAATATGTTTTAAATTAATTCAAGACATCAAAACTGAAGTGAAAACAAAACTAAAGACATAAAAAGAGTTCCAAAACTGCTCCCGAAAATGGCAATAATGATAGGATGATATTTGAAGGAAGCCGGAGGATTTTGAAGGGAATTAATGACAATGTGTGTCATGTAATAATTTTTCAAGTTAAACATTTACTATATTTTTTCAATCATACTGCATTAAATCCTCAAATTTTCTACTTAACATTTAAAATACACTTCAAAATAAAATTCACAAGTCAATATTACTGAAAATATAGTAAACAAATCCATACATCTAAATTCAGCAACATGATTCATTACTATGAGATCAAGACAACTCATCTATATGTAAAATAAATAATGATGTAAGATAAGTAGAAATGTTTAACTAAATTAATCTGATAAAAATCAAGACAATATGTATACCATACTTTGGAAAGTTTTTCATTAGGCAAAATTCTGAATAAACCAATAATAAAATTTAATTATAACAATAGAGCTATATCAATCAGGTTGGCTCATTAACACCTAACAAAAATAAAATAAGTATTAGGAGTTATTGGAATACCAGCAAGATATTATCTATTATAATAACACAGTATTTCATAAAACTATGTTGTTAATAAATGAGTATTGCATTTATGTGGGGAAAAAAAGACAAGACAAAATAATTAAAGTGACCAACCATGAATTTAGAAAAGTTGTAGTGACAGGAATGTCTCAATTATTTAATAGACAATAAATGAAATTCTCTCATCTAAGAACTGAAGAAAAAGAAACTAAATTGCAAATAGACATGGTATGTTTATAACCTAAAAACATTATTTATGATTCTTTGCATTTTAATTTGAAAGTCTAAGAATAACAAGGGAAATACAGTTACACTACACACTCAAAGAGGAAATAACCCATAAAATATTAACATAAGATTTATTTATGATCCTTTAAAAAGTGTACTGGTGAAATGGAGTAGCCAATCTAGAGTACTGCACCCAATTTCAAGTGAGGTGTGTGAAGACCAGGATAGAGAACTAAAATAAATTCAGGTTTCGTCATCATAGTTGTCTCAAAGATCTATGAACCTGAATTCACCACATGGCATGAGACAGAATCTGTGAAAATCCCACACGAAGACATGAGCTGAAACAAAGTGCAATAATAGAAGCTGAATAGATCTGAAATATACATTTTGTGGAATTATTAATGTTCACTCAGATAAAGCTGGTTTCCCTCAGACATATCAGTGAAGGAATTTCCACACTAGTGAAAGGTAGGAGCAGTTGATCCCTAAGCCCCTTCTCCTTTAAATGTTATGTAATCTGAAGATAAATTTGAAGGTAGGTAATTCCTTCTTAATAAATTCAGAGTGGAAGCCCATATTTTCAGCCAAGATGAGACAGGAGGCTTGAACCTTCTTTTCCATTCATTTATACAACACACTTTCTATGTTACTTAACAAATGACTCAAAGAAGTAAAGGTATCCTAAGGATTTTCTTTGAGATTCTGCATGAAACACAGTCCTAGCAAAAATGAATAGAACTTACTCAATGTAGTTTCATGTTTTACAAATGTATGTTATCTATTACATACAAACAAAACTCCTGTGAAGTAAAAGAAGGTGTATTTTACTATTCCTATTTTCCATAAATTAAAATTTAGATACAGAAGAGAATAATAGATTAACCAAATACCAAATCTATATATTTGATTGTTTGAATCAGGGTGGACTTTTTTTGTTTGTTTGTTTGTTTGTTTTTGCATTAAGGTCATGGTGTACAGGGTCTCACTGCATAGATCGGGCTCATAGCGAAAACATCAGTTCTAAAATTTCAAACAACTCACCCAAGGTCACACACAGATAGATGACACACTCTCATAATTTAAATAATCTTATACACAATTAGTTTAAATGTATAAATCATCTGAAAAATGTTCTAATTATAAAGTCTTAGAAGAAAACCCAGTCTTGCCAATCACTTTCCGAATGGCCAGCTGTACATCTTTGTTCCTGAGGCTGTATACCATGGGGTTTAACAGTGGGGTGATGATGGTATAGGTCACTGTCACCAGCCTGTCTTTGCCTGTTGTATATTTGGCTGAAGGTCGCAGGTAGACAAAGGATGCACAACCATAATGGACAATGACCACAATGAGATGAGAAGCACAAGTGGAGAAGGCTTTTCGCTTGCCTTCAGCTGATGGGATCTTCATGATGGTGTGAACAATGAAGCCATAAGATATGCAAATGAAGAGCAAGGGGACAACAAGCACAAGAACCCCACAGATGAAGATGACCAGTTCATTGATGTAGGTTTCAGCACAGGCAAGACGGATGACAGGTGAGATATCACAAAAGTAGTGATTGACTTTGTTGGAACCACAGAAAGGAAGGCTGAAGACTAAAGTTGTTCCCACCAAAGATATTAGAAAGCCACTAACAACACATGTTGCTGCCAGCTGTCCACACACTCTCCAACTCATGAGAATGGGATAATGCAAAGGCTGACAAATGGCAGCATAACGATCGTAACCCATGACTCCCAGAAGCAGGCAATTGGTGACAGCAAATCCAAGGAAGAAGAACATTTGAGTGGCACAACTCATGAAGGAGAGTGTCCTCAGTACAGAGAGCAGGTTAATGAGCATCTTGGGCAGAATCACAATAGTGTAGAAGATCTCAGAAGTGGAGAGAACACCTAAAAAGAAGTACATGGGTGTGTGGAGGCTCCGATCCAAGTGAATGACTGAGATGATGGTGATATTTCCACTTAAGATGATCAGATAGAGGCTGAGAAAGGCCACAAAGAGGACAAGCTGCAATTCCCCAAGGCTGGAAAAACCCAGCAGTAGGAACTCAGTGACAAAGGAGGAATTGGCCATGAAGATTTGATCCCATGGAATAAACCCAATGTGATCAGGTCCTGAGGCTTTGAAAGTAAGGAACTGGAATTTTACTCTCAGAAATTAGTTATGTCAGCCTTGTTTAAAAAAAGCAAAAAAATGAAATGGAAGAGAAATAAAGGACTGTTAATTAAGCAGAAATTATTCCAAATAGGTATATAACCATGCTGCTATTTTTCTGTCTCTGATTTTAGTGTGAATGTGGGGACAATTGTTGATGTGAAAAAACACCACTCTTGGCTCAAATAAATCTATTATTTTTATACATGATCCCCACTTGATTTTTCCAGAGTTCTAATCCTCAAGAATCCTATATCTATGTTAATTACTATTTTGACATTTTATTCTGACTGCTTATATATGTAAGAGCATCCACATCTGAGGATTCCCTCCTATACACATATCCTTCCTACAAATTGCTCATCTAAAAAAACACTTCTTAATCTGTCTTTACATTTTTTGTCCTTAGAAAACAATGATCCCCTTCCACAACTAATTGTCTACCCAATTTTCATGAAGTTACCTATTAAAATCAAACTTTAAAACTATTATTATTGTTTTAGAAGTAGCTTTATGATTCCTCCGCAAACTTTTATCAGATGTTAAATGGATTTCTCTTTACAGAAAACATACAGCTAGAATAATTTAGTGTGTCATCAGTAGTCATCAGTTGCCCTATTTTGTTACGTGCTTTACCTTTGGTATCCCTGACTGAGGGGGCAAACAAACTGTCACTCTCAGGATCTGTCTGTGAATGCATGAATAGGGAGGCTCAGATCCTATACCTACACTAAGGTCTCTGATACAGTTATAGCTGCTAGATTTCATATATTTTAATGGGAAAATTTTATCCACTTCTCACACTCAACTCATAATTCACCTGGTTTCTATACTCAAAAAGTTTCATAATTCTCTTACAAAAACTGTAGATACCTAAGTCATGTTTAAACTCACCATTGTCTCATCCTCCCCATACATTTTTTATCTGAAATATCTTTAGAATATCTCTTTTTTTTTCTTGTTTTATGTAATAAATGAACTCTTCCCTGTATTATACAAATAACTCTCTAGATTAGCTTTTCTCATTCTGAATCATCCTCCCTAATAACAGCAAAGTTGCTTTTCTACAGTCCCAATTCAATCCTTAAAAACAAAACTAAGTAAACCTCAATTGTCAATAAAATGTTCTAGGTCCTGAATAATTTTCCCAAATTTTTCACTTAATATGGAAGTAGTTTTGATTCCTCTACATATATGGATTCAGAAACATTTTAGAATTTAAAAATTCTGACCAGTCATGTCATTTCTTGTACTACTTCCAACATTTGGAAATATCCCATGTTTCATGTTTTTTCTTTCAATTTTGAGGTTTGCTTACAATTTTTAATTTAATAAGCCATACTCATGAAATCCTCCCTATAGTTTCACAATCATGTATATCACTTTATCTGGGTTTCTACTGAGATCAATAGAATTATATTTGCTTTGTCATTATTAATGTTTATTTTTGATTCTATGAAGTATAACTTGCTTGAAAGATTTTTTCATCCTAAAAGTTTGAAGCAGAAAGTTCACGTTGTATGGTAGATTACAGTCCAAGTAATTGTTATCATTCACTTTTCTACTTAGACAAAAATTGTATAAAACTCTAAAATTTGACCTAAACAAAGAACTTAACTTCCATTTCTAGATATCTTTTAATTATCTTATAATGTAATTTATAAATAAACAACATACGGTATTCCTCTGACTATGCAAAGTCTCCACTAGTGTTCTTTCTGAGACACATTTTCTGCCTTTTCACCTTCCCTGCCTCCATTCCCTTACTCATAACTAGCAGTAAGCAGATAGCTATCACATGGGAAAATTCAACAGTGTTTAATTTGACAAGCAAATAAATTAGTCAACTACCACTACTCTACATACTAGAAAACAAAGTCTCTAAACAGAAATAATAATGTCGTATTCCTTCAAATCAAAGTTCCAGTGTCCTGTGGCAAACAGGTTTTTTCATTCTAAGGCACTTCCTGGAAATTTCTGTGAGGGTTCCTAAGTGAACCTTGCTTGCTGATTACAGTGTGGCAGGGGGCTAGCTCACCTTTCATGAACATTTTAAAACAGCATAAGAAAACTTTTTCTCCAGCAGAAGCCTTTTCTCCATGGACAGACAGGATATTGCCTCAGTGACTTTCATCAGTGGTCTTTCTTTTTTTAACCACAGTTATGACCTCAATGTTAGGGCTGATAATTGAGCTCTTCATCTACCTAGAGAACTAATTACCATCCTGTGCTTAGTATTTGTCCGTAACATTTCTAATTAGCAAGGATAACTATGATGATTCCATATATAAATTAGCTGACCAAAGAGAAATTCTTTTCTAATCACCATCAGGATTAATTGTCTTCCTCTTAGAAATTCTCTGAGCTCTCATTAGACAGTGGAGCTTCCCTGGGCACCACTGGATAAGACAGACATCAATGAAATTGCATTATTTAGGCTTCCCTACCAAATATCTCTGGACTTTCATTCTGAGGTTAGATGAAATCCTAAGCGAAGCTATACCACACTTCCACTTCTGAAAGTTAGAAGAGAGTAGTAAAGATATAATAGTTAGAAGGCAGAATATATAATGGCAGAGGTTGCATAAATCTCTAAAGTACAAAGGACAAATGTTTGTTTCTGAAATACAGTGTAAGTTGGGTAAATATTTAATCAATAAGTATGGAAAGTAGAGTTATGGAGAAAAATGTGATAGTTCATAGGTATGTATTTAGTAGTCCCCTATCCTGCTCCTTAGTTCAGATTGTATGTTGATGTTGTTGACAGTGACGACAGATTCTTGGGCTAAAAGACGGAGCATATTGTAGACACTCATGGCTAGTTCAATGAGAGGCATGTGTGAACTGTTTCCTGTGTGAGTTATGTCAGAGATGAAACAGGGATGGGAAAATAGATGAAAAGCCTAAATGACTAAATAAAGTAGTTTTGGTGGCTTCTTTACCTTTGAATATATTAGATATTTAGAAAATGGGCAGATACTCAGAAAACACTTTGCTGACAAGACTCGACACAGACTTTATCTTCCAGAACTCCATAAATTAAGGGTAGCCAAACTTCAAGTCTCACCTTACGAGATGGAATGTGTGTCTCTTTTCCTTGCATCTAAGTACACTGAATGATAACTTTGAGCAACATTTATAGCCATAGTGAAGTATCAGCTTATATTCCATGATCTCTAGAATTTGTCAGATTCAGCCTCCTCAGTTTTGAAATATCTTGTGTTTTTTTCATTAGCTCTCATGTTTTGAGCAAGTGAAGTCATTGCTTAGATAATCCATGTGGGATATTAAGGCTGCTACTCAACTACTTCAATCTAGCATAAAAACAATAGCATATGTGGATTAACTAGATACAAATTGAACAATCTTAGAAAAGGAACTTTGCACCATGTTTAAACTTTACATACCTTTGTTATGGGTCACTCAGAATAGGAACCAGATCAGCCAGGTTGGAATTTGGAAAGCCGTTTATTACTGAGCTCAGGGCCCCCCAGTCTGCTCTCACGCAGGAGAGGACCGAAAGGGCGGCAGCCCAAGAAGCAGGAAGGGGTTTTAAACCTTGGAATC